ACCCTCTCTCTCATTTCCACACAAGTATTCAGCCTTGCTGTTACTGAACTGCATCTCTCTCCTGAGCATGCCTCCAGCTCTCCAGGAACCTGCTCCCTACTCTCACTACATACAATTGCCATCATCATAGTCCACAGAGACTCCTGCCTGACCTCATCTATCAACCTGTTCAACACCACAGCAAACGGCAAGGTGTTCAGAGCTGATCCCTGACCCAGTGCCGTCCCCACAGTATTCCACTATATTAACTGGCATAACATGCAAACTTTGTTATTTATCCACAGTCAATGTGAACAAAACCATGACAGCTTCAGCATTAACATACTCTATTGCCTTACTGAAATGATATACCTCTAGTGTGACAATGCTAGCTTGACCAATAGTAATTAAACAGAGGAATAAAAAAAAAAAAAAAAAAAGCCAAATTGTAATTAAGACTAATAGATTTTTTTCCACTGGTGCTGATAAGTTGAGCAAAAATATCAATGTAGAACATGGTTTATGTACATGTGGGCAATCGTGGCTCAAGAGTTGGGTGTTCGTCTTGTAATCGGAAGGTTGCCGGTTCGAGCCCTGGCTCGGACAGTCTTGGTCGTTGTGTCCTTGGGCAAGACACTTCACCTACCACCTACTGGTGTTGGCCAGAGGGGCCGATGGCGCGATATGGCAGCCTCGCCTCTGTCAGTCTGCCCCAGGAGCTGTGGCTACAACTGTAGCTTGCCTCCACCAGTGTGTGAATGTGAGAGTGAATGAATAGTGGTATTGTAAAGCGCTTTGAGGGGTCCCGAAAAGCGCTATATAAATGCAATCCATTATTATTATTACATGTAACATTTCTAATACACAGTTTTAAATGAAATGTTTTTAAATAAACCTCGGTTACTATTGATTACCAGAAATACAAATGAAATTCATTTGGCTAATTCATGATCTTTTGATATGACTTGGATCCTTGCCACAACATTTCTAAAAAAAAAAAAAAGAAGCTACAAATATGGAACAATATTTAACAAAAAAATGTGACATAAAAATGATTTCTCTCTAACTTGGTGTATACATGCTTAACAATACTGGATCATTCCACTGTGTAAATATATATATATACATAGCTAAACCCCAGAAAGGAAAAAATCACTAATTATGCTACCATCCACAAACACTAATGAGTTTCTACATATGGAGCCAAAATGCAGTAACATCTATTTATCATCAGCTCAGAGGTACTGAATAATTAACAAAACCATTCTAATAATTCAGAATCATTATTTATTCATCCATGTTTTCATTTTTCTCTTTTTCTATCAATACAGCTGTCTGAATGCTGAACAAGAACACTGTGTAAAAGAGAAAGAGCATCTAATTTTCACAGTGCTGTAGCTCTCACTGTGACAGGTTTTATTATGTCACTAAGCTGTGAGTCTGCGTTCACTGAGCTAATTTCAAGAGCAATATTGTCGCTGTCAGAACCTTTCATCTCACCTGTTTTGGGTTTTTTTTTGCTTTTAACTGATCTGAAGGTTTGCATGCAACTCTGTGGGGTGAGATTTTTTTTTTAAATGCTAAAGGCTATTCACGGACTAAAAAACCTTTCAGCAAATAAGTGCAGAGGTCTGCACAGAGATGTCTGAGGAAACAGAGAGAACTGAACAGTTTAAAAAAGAAAAACAGTTCTACATCAAATCAAATCACTTTTATTGTCACATCACATGTGCAGGTACATTGGTACAGCACATGTGAGTGAAATTCTTGTGTGCGAGCTTCACAAGCAACAGAGTTGTGCAAAATACAATAATGTAAACAAGCAAAATACAAGAATGGCTACATCTGAAACTAATAAATATATGTACAATATATAATAGTATATGCATTTCTGGATGTGTATACTAAATATTTTTCTACGTGTGTGTGTGTACACATATTTTACAAATTAAATAGAGTAAACAATAAATACATACACTGTACATTTGTACAGTGCAGTGACATGGGCACCACCGGCCTATCAAATACGTGCAAGCTTTTTATAAAATATACCTCATATCATTATAAACTATTAAACACTGTTTGGGTATTAGAGAACCCTTAAAACCTGCGAATTTGAATTGCAATTCATCCGCTCTCTTGCGCTTCAGTCATGCACCCATCAATAAAGCATTTTTAAATACAATGCCTTTCTTAATCTGAATGCACAGTAAGGCTCAAAAATGCCTTCAAAGCCTTGCAATTAACACCTAACGTGCTTTGTTATTCAGCAGGATATGTTCCTTAGTTCCATTTTGCATATAAAAGCTTTTCACCTGAAAACACCACCTGCCAGGACTCATGCCTAAGCACTAAACACTGACAAGTGAACCAGGACTAAACAAAGATATAATTTTGTGACCACTTATACTGCTATTAGATATGTGTGCTGGGGTTAAGGTAGCACTATTCTACCCATATATCATACATAGTGTGACACATAAACAAAATCGAAACAGCCACTGCTGCTGGTGAGTGAGACACACCGGGGAGTTTATTTCCTTGCTTCTAGGATGAACAGAAAATGATGTCGTCTATGGCAGTGAGAGGGTACCGAGTCCTGGTTAACCTCACTCACATACTAGAATGATGTAGTATGTGATAGTTATCATAATCATCCGAGCAGGCGAAACAACATTAAGTCACAGCATTTGCCTCACTGACTTTGAAAAGTAAATGAACTTTTTTAAACTTATTAATAATTTGAAACGTTTTATATGTGCAAGAAAGCTGACACGCATTGGCTCTAATAATTACATCCTGACGAACAAGATGTCAAGCCTTACCCATACTTTTCCCCCGCAGGGAATTAATTCTATAAAACAGGTGAGCAGTAGCTCTCTACCAAGAAACGAGTCTCTCTCCTCCAGACAATACAGAGTTTTGTGTTTGTGTCAAACTGCAAACTGATTGATTTCTCTGCAAAGAGGCAAACCTCAGAAATGTATAAAGAGAGAGAATTTTGTCTGGTTTCAACAATATTCTCAGCATAGTCCATCAGTCATCACTACAAGCACAGTTCTCATACCTGTGCATTGATATAAGCATACCCATATGGAAAAGAAATAGTAAAAACATATATGATTTACTCATGAAAGTGGCCACTTTCTCATTACTTTCATATATTTTTTAGTAAGTATAGAAAACATACAAGTTTCATTATATAATTTTTCAAGGGATCTTATATGTGTTTTCACTCTTGTATGCTTTTCATACAAGTTTCATACAAGACAGATAAAAACTTTATAAGATTTATATATATCTTTTCCATATGGGTATTTTCCATGCTAAGCGCTTTGCCTAACATTCACGAACACATTTTGAAGGATGCATCAGGAGCCACTTGGGATTCAGTAACTTGCCCCAGGATACTTTGACATACAAACTAGAGGACCCGCTCTACCTCCTGAGCCACAACCACTCTTAAGCAAACAGTTCTTGAAAGCACCTGCAAGACTTAAATACACAAATGTATTAATCAGTGGAGCTTTTGGAGTATCAGATACGTGAGAGTAAATGTTAAATATTGTGGCTACCAAATTATTAAATTGTTTTTGAGAATCTGTCAGTAATTGAAATGTAATGATTATAATTCCAAATATATCCAATTTCTCATCAAGAACAGACAGACTGAGAAACACAAACTAACCCAGAATCATAAATTTATTACAAGTGCTCTCTGGCAATATGACGAAACACATTTGCAGAATCACGCACAGCTGCAGCAGCCTGAATCTTCACTGATCTGATAAGTAACTGAACTGTCAAGAGCATAGACGAATAAAAAAATGCTGCCTATAATAATGGGAAATAGAAAAAAATCTTAATCACTTACGAAGCGCTTGATACAAAGTTTTCTGTGTATGCTGAGGAGATGGATGTCTCACCAAACTGTTTATATAAATTTACACCTTGGCTTACTTCTTATATTAGCAAATGTTTATGTTTTTCTTTGTTTTAAACTCTCACTGACTTCATTTTGGCTCAGAAAAAGAAGTTTGATTTTAAAATCCAGTACACACAACAGCAGGTTGGTGTATTCAGGTTAGACAGCTTCCAAAAGTCTACACTGGTTGTTGTAAGTTTGAAATATATTACCAATATTAAACTAAACTAGATACAAGACTTGCTATCAAATTAATAGATCTGAGAATGAAGTGTGCATGTCAAAACAGCTCTTAAAGGAGCCAAGTGACGGTTTACAAGAGCAAAAAAGCTCTCAGCATGCACTGAAGCTCATATCTGCAAAAACAGGAACAAACAGCCAGTCTGCTGATATTACACACCAGAAACGCTGAACAGGACATGACAGAGTAACAAACCCAGCCTGTCAGCTCCAGGTCTGCTTCACGAAGACCGACAGTAAAACAGACTTTAGTGTCTGTTTGTGTCTCTGTCTTTGTGCAGCTGCAAACACGTATTCACAGAACTGAGATCACTCTTCGGGCAAAAGCAGTCCCGTCAGAGACACGAGCAGTTCGGTGGAATTTGATCGGTCCATGAAACACCTGCCCATCATCAGCAGCACCAGCATCCCCACATCTGCCATGCTGCACCCGCAGCATTCAAATATAAGATACATAAAAATCCATTTTGGACTTTACAAGAATTAAAAAAAAAATGTTGTGTGATTACGATGGGGTGGGCAAACTGAAGAGCCAAACTCATGAAAATCCAAATAAATTCTGTAAGAGATTAAAAAAACAGCAGATTTCATTTAAAAAAAAGTGAACAAAACGTAACAAAAAAAAAAGAAACTGAAAATAAAGACAAGAAAGGGTATAAGACTGGTTTTCCCTCCAACAACAACACAAAGCAGAGAGTAAAGAGCTCCGGCAAAGACTTGCAGGATAACAGAGAAATCCAACAGCTAAAAAACAAGGGGATGAGGGGGACAAAAAAGAAGACAAAAAAAAGAAAAAGAAGGGATATCAAACCTGAAAGAAAGAAAAAATGAAGACACGAGGAGGGGAAGAACTGACCTTCCAACGTAGGAGGTAAAAACGCTGAAAGAGGCTGACGGTGAGAAGGTGAGAAGAGCTGACAGCGTTCGGGGACGACGTCCGGAGTGCGCTCGGTAAACGGGCTGAAGCTCTGAGTGGCAGAGCAGCCGCTGGAGCTGCGACAAACAGCAGCAGCGTGTCGACTGGAGCAAACCACTGAGCGCGGGCAGGGAGGGGGAGCTGCTGCTGCTGCTGGGAGCTCTGTGGGTAATTTGGCACTTGGATTAAAAAGCGCACGACAAACTCACTTACAAGGAAAAACGAAAGAAAATTTACTGCATGTGTCTAATTTTCCATAGCTGCTGGTAGCTAATTGCCCAGATTTTCCTGTAATCATAAAGCATTGTTCATTGTTCATTCACAGAACACAGGCTTAAAAAATGTGGACCCATTGTTAAAAAAAATACAACATTATACATTTACATAGGGAAAAAATATCATGTAATTGTTGATCTATTACTTAATTATTTTGCTGTATTATGAATGGCCATGGGGGTGGTCTTCATCTGCATAAAGATGTAGACTTTATGAACACAGTCAAAAATCAAAAGTTTATGGTCCAGATTGGAGTCTGTGACGGACTGACTCTAGCCTCTGCACCTTATACTGGACACCCCTGGTTTAGTGCATTGGCGAATTTAGACCTTTTTTTAATGGGTGCTCAAGCATCCCTTAATTTCATTATAGAGCCTCTCAAAAACACTATAGTAACAATAATAACGTATTTTACTAGTATTTTCTGAAATCATCTTCTAATGGTCTATTTTGTCAGCTTAAGTTACAACGAAAACAAGGTAAAATGTTCTTTGTTCTTGATGTCATGATGTTACATAGCTCTCACACGCTGTGGCTTCTTAGTAATAAACACGACAAGGTTATTCCTGTTAAAAGAAAATGAAGAGATTATTCAAAGTACACTTTACCCGAAACATCAACAAGCAGAAGTGCAAGTGGTTCTGGGGGGTCACAGCAATGACCCTGCATTTGGTTACAGAAAGAGCTGATTATGTATATTTGTTCTCTAAATAGCGTCAAAACATTTGGTAATGCAGTAGAGCTTTTTAGATAACTTTAGCTTATAAGCTATAAATCTGCTACCATATTACAAGTTGCCAGCCAGTGAGCTGGTGTGTTTTATTTTATTAGTTCAATAAAGTTTTCTAGTTTGGCCGAATTGGGCTTCATTGTTTGTTTACTGATTGCAGAGCCTCAGAGTGCAAGTCAGAAAGATCTTATGTGTCTATGGCCAGCAGCCAATTCCTAGCGAATTTAGTTATGTAAAAATGCTTCTTTATTGGATGACAGCATGAAGATTGAGAAAAGAGGATAGAGAGGGTGAACAGAGACAGGGGGCTAGATGAAGACAGCAAAAAGGCAAGAGCGCAAAAAGAAACAGATAGGAGTGGACTAGTCAGAGTCATCAAAAGTTATAAAGCTGAGGTATCCTCTGTTTCACCCACATTCATTGATGATCACTGATTTGGATTCATATCACTCTGAACATGGCTTGAACAGGATGGCTGCCAATAAATTTGAGTGAGACACTGCTAATCTATCCTCCACAGAGCTGGGTACCTGGGATCGTGTCTTTATTGTGTAATATAAAAGAAGGGTTTGTATAAATTCAAAAACTTTAATGTAAAAGCATGAAAAGTAAAATAGACTGCAGTTATGTGTTTGAGAGACTGAAACAATGCTGTGAATCTAATTTGCTACAAATTGTTTGTTAATTTACTACATTTAATCAACACAACTGACCCCCTGGGCTCAGATATGATCACCCTAAAACTGGTGTATTATATTAGAACTATGATTATTCATTCAGAATCATTTCATCAACATTAGAAAAGATCATCCAACCAATTAGATTCCTTTTAAAGGTAACAGTAATATGTGCCCAGTTAATTTTAGATATGTAACAGTAAAAAGGATCCAGTTTGTTTGCAAATACCTTATTCTATTAATATAAATTACAAAGCATTGTATGCATGACATTGTGAATGGGTGCTTAGCCCACCTGAAGCTTTGATCCTAGAATCACCTCTAATTTGGTGTTTCAACAAGGGGATAGTTTGTTAGTTGCACCCTACTCTGGACATCACCATAAACTCTGTTGACCTGTTCTTCCATTCAAACAGAGCAGCTGTCTGATAAGCTATCAAATCTAGAACTCTTTGAAGTGATGCAATGCTGAAGGGGAGATTTTGCAATTCTCATTTAACAAGAAAGTCTATAGTGTGCTTGAAAAGGGATATGAGCAGAATTGGCTTTGCAGCACAAGGAAAGATTGATGTGGTTAATTACACAGTGTACACTAGTAAGCAAAGATTAGAGTTTTGATAGTCCACAGATGATAAAAGATCAAACTATTTTAAAAAGTTGTTACATTGTTCTGTCCCAGTTTGCTATGAAACAAGGTTACAGCAAAAATGATTTCTATAACTGGGAAAGGTAAACATTTATAAAGAATATGGAGGGGTTAGCACTATCACCTCCCAGTGTGGAGTTTGCATGTTCTCTCCATGTACTTTCTTCTTTTCACAGTCCAAAGACATACTTAATTAATTAAGTAAATAATTAACTATTCTAAATTAGTCATAAGCATGAGTGTGAGGATTGTCTCTCATTCTGTTTTGGCCCTTGAATAGATTGGCAACCCGTCTCCTAACTCTCACCCCATCAAAGCACAGGTCATGTACAGTAAGTGTCTCCCTGTTTGTATTGCTACTCTTGTTTACTCTGTACTGCTGCTGCAAAGGTGCCAGGGAGACTTTATGAACGCGAAGCATTAAGCTGTTTGTTTTGTTGACATCAGTGAAGTTGCAAAGTCTTAAAAGCCAAAGGGCAATCCTGAACACACATATACACACGAGCACAGTTATCTGTGAAAACATTTCAGCTGAGACAAGGAGAAGAGGCATGCGAAGACAGGAAGAGCAAGGTTGTTTATTGTGTTGTGCTGTTTGTTTCTGGGGTTTTTTTTGTTTGTTTTCTTTCATTCAAGGGCAAAAAGAGGAGCCGTTAAAATGAGAGTGAGTGGGGAAGAAAGAAGAAGCAGATCAGCAGACGGAGACGGTGAAAGATACCGACAGCCAGAGAGGATGAAAAACAGATGCAGAGAAGGAGCACATCCCCTGCTCTTTGAGCAGCCACGTTCATGAAGAAAATACAAGCAGACAGTTGTAACTGACTGAGTAAGTCAAAATATAAGCCAATGTTGGTGTTACAAAATATACTGCTTTGTCTGACCTGTTCACCTTGATGGAAAGACATATACTTTATGCATTTATATAAATAAGAGTCTACTAGTCTTTAAGTAGTGAACCAGTCAATTTCTACAAAGTCCTTCTACAAAACTGCATTCACTCTGGAATCCCCTTTGTGTTAATCTAGCTGATGCTTTATAGCTAGATTTACTCTCCTTAATGGAATTTGTCGAGAAAGCCAACTAAATGAACACTAATGTTTGACACATGAACTGTATATAAAAGATGGCTATAACTTTCCAGTATGAGTAGTGAAGACAATGTTATTTTTCTTCTATGATAAGATTTGAAGCTCTTTGAACTACATCAATACCAAAAAATACATTTGTTTAAGTGGCATCAACCCAGTCAGCAGGCTTAGTCCCAAAGGTAAATGAAAGCATGAACTCTGGTAAACTTTATTACAAGAATGTGCTACTGACCAACTGCAAGCTTGATTTGACAGTGTTGACCTTTGAGAGAACAAAGAGTGTATAATGGTTGAGACCATCATATTGGCAGTGTTGAAACCTTTTGGCTGTATTCTACACTGCAAAATGAGAAAAGAAATACCAGGAGGGTTTGTTTACATCTCTATTTCAGTTTTATTTAAATTTTATTTGTCATATGTAATTTAACAGTGGTTGGGTTAATTGGTAATTCTAAATTGCACATAGGTATGGATGGTTGTTTGTCTCTCTGTGTTAGCCCTGTGTTGTATGTTCACCAGTATGATAATGATGAAGCAGTAATCTCAGTTAGCGTGGTTTTATTAACCAGCACAGCAGCAGAGAACTTACATGCTTGGATTCAATAACGGAATGGCGCCTATACCACTCAAAACATACACACACCTACACGGAGGTACGGCAAGCGGATTAGGACAAAATACCAAACTAACAGCAGGTTATCTACACCCTGCAACATACCCGCCTCTCACCCTGTGATAGCTGGGACAGGCTCTTGCACCACTGGGACCCTGATAAAGATAAGCAGATGAGAATGAATGAATGTAATTTAACAAAGGCTCAACATTACAATGAAATGTGTTTACCTTAAAAGGCAAAATCAACAGGCTCCTGGCACCACTTATTTTAGCAGACAGTGTGCTTTTTTAGAAACTATACCTGCAAATATAATGCAGAAACCTCAGAATCACAAGTATCTCTTAAGTTTTTAAAAACTGTAATAACTCAACAACAGCAGGCAGACAAAAATGAAATATGCATTACTGAAATATGAGATTAAAAGTCACTTTTATGGTATAAGTCAGAGGGATTTCACACTGGATGTTTTAATTAAAGTCTCTCAGAATATATTGTCTCATATTCCTTCACTCGGTGCTGCACTCAACAAAGACAGTGAGCTGAGGAGAATCTTCAAGTTATGTGATTTTCTTCAGTGAGAAGTCCGATTTCAAAGCACAAAAGAAACAAAGTTCTCTGAATCCAAATGCTGTTCCCCTTTTTTGTCAGACAAAAAAAGACTGGAGGAGTTAGAAAGAGAGCTTCTTAATACAGCTGTTTGCTTTGAAAAATGACATGAAGGCTCTGGAAGGTCTGATTAATTGCTAACCCAAATAAACAAGAAACCCAAGCATAGCAACAAATTTGTGACATTTTAAATCAAGGACAAATAAAACCTAAATTTTTCTTTTTTCATTTATAACAAAATAAAAACATTACACAACAGTCTTTGACCAAATGTACCTATGTAATTGCTTTTAATGGTCTGTCATTCTTAGCCATCCATCAAAATACATTAGGCCTAATATATATTACTGTTAAATAATATAAGTAAATAATCCAGTTGCTCAACATTTGGTCACATTTTTATGAAAGGAAATCTGACTGGACAAGTCATTAAGCTCCAATAAGGT